TAGATGTGTACAGAGCATCAACCCAACAACTGCACAATACATATTCTTTTCCAGTGCACATGGAACGTTATCCAGAATAAAGTATGTCTTAGGCCACAAAACAAATCTCCATAAATTTACAAATATCAAAATACTACAAAGAATACTATACATGCTTTAAGAGAAATGAGATCTATCTACATGCACTAATATGGAAAGACAACCACACATGCTAAGTGAAAAAAGTTAAATAGCAGCTTGTATAGTATGAGACTATTTGTAAGAAGGAAAAATTTGTTACTCTATCCCTTCTAGTTGCATAGTCATAGAAAAAGTGTTATCATCAATTTCTTTATAACAGCTACCTCTGATGACCTGAGGATTCCTAGAGACACTTTTTTCCTTCAAACAAACCATTATGTTTGTTAAGGACATGCATTACTCTTGATATAAACTTTAATAAAATGTATTATGAATATCCATACATAAAATATCCCAAAGGCTTATTCCTAGTAAAAGAGAAATGACTGAACAGAAACAGATAATCAGACTCTGAATAAATAAGCACAGTTTTAGCAAAGATTTTAATAGTAGGTTTTAAATACAAAAAGGAAAACAAGTCACAATTAAAATATGCTGTTGTTGTGAAGTGCCATCAAGTCAATTCTGGCCCATAGTGACCCTGTACAGGGTTTCCGAGGAGCAGCTGGTGAGCTTGAACCACCGACCTTGCAGTTCAAATGGCTTTGCAGTCTGGCGCATCTGTTATTCTCTGCCGTACACTTTCTCACCACACCAGTATATGGGAGGAGGAGTGTAAGGGTTACAAAATTACTATTCATTCTATAATGTTTAGTTAGATTAAGGAAACCAGTTTTTCCACATGCACATCAAAACAGATCAGTAAAACTGGTTTTGAGCACAAGGAAAAGTAGCAGCTGTCTCAAATCTGTTTAAAAAATTGAAGTAAGCTTATGATCTTTATTTCATCTAACATAAAATCTAACAATTAGATGTTTAGTTTATAGAACAGTGTTTTTTATATGCCAGAGAAACCAAATTATAATCCTGTCTTCCACTCCTCCTAGAAAAAATGTTTTTCTCTAGCTCAGAATGCCCCAATACCTATATGATTAAAAATAAAGGTGACATAATTACAACTGAAAAATAATCACAAAACCCACTCACTGCCATCGAATTGATTCCAATTCATTGTGATCCTATTTAGTGTTTCTAAGGCTGTAAATCTTTACAAGAGCAGAAAGCCTCATCTTTTCCCCCCAGAGTAATTGGTGAGTGTTGAACTGCAGGCCTTGTAGGCAATAGTCCAGTTTTTATCCTACTGCATCACCAGGGTTCCTTAAAGTAACCACAAGTAACTGAAAATTTATTTTGTTTCCATGTACCTAAAACTAAGAAAACGAGAATGGGATCAGAATTAATCACAGTAAAAGGGTTACTTGGGAATCCACAGGGAAGTTTTATAGTCTTTTACTTGAAAGAGGAAAAGGCTACAATTTCAGAGTTTTTCCCAGAAAATGAGAATTGTTAATAGCTGCTTATGGGGAATGAATTAAAAATTGCATTATAAAAAGACACGGTTATTTCATGAGAGTTAATTTCATTTATTACATGAATCTGTTAATTAAAATAATATTCCTTTAAGAAGAAAAAGAATAAACAAAAACTTGCAATGCTGAATGAAGTCTACAAAAACTGAAGTAAAACTAAACCAGGGCAAAGTTTGCCACTAGTATTCCCGTGTAAACTAGGAATATTTCACATACAAAGTTGAGAGGAGTCCTGGTGTAGCACTGTGGAATAATGCACTGGACTGCAAAGTCGGTCTGAACCACAAAGTTAGTGGTTCAAGCTTACCAGCCACTCCTTGGAAACGCTGTAGAGTCACTATGGGTCAGAACTGACTCGATAGCACTTAACAATAATAGTTAAGTACTGCTCTAGATATTGAAGCTCTATGCTGAACAAAATAGGCCAGATCTCTTCTCTCATAGTGCTTACATTCTACCTTAAGACAAAAACAAAAGAAAACAAGCTAATAATGTAGAGAGTGAATGAGGGTAAGAAAGCTCCTTGCAGGATGCAATATTTAAGAACTGAATGACAAAAAAAGAGAGCCATTTGACAATCTGGGAGAACTCTTCTGGCAAAGACAATATTAATATAAAAGCACTGATAAAAACGTTAATAGACTGTCTCTAAATCAAGTCTAAAAAAAGTACTATCCAAGTATTCCTATAAAGATCCGTTTCAGAGGTCCTGACTAAAAAGCTCTAAATCACAAATAAATGGCATGAAATTACAGGACATGATTAAAATGAAAATGACAATAGTTCACAGGAACCAGTTACAGATGTATTCTTAAATAAGTATTAAACAAATGCAGTATTTCATAAAACCAAGCCAGCATGTTACTTATTAGATTTGTAAAACCATTAATAAAAATTCATAATATCTGAGGTTGGTGAGGGCAAGAGTGAAAGAACCCTGTTATTCACTGTGAGTGTACTATGGTGGTGGTGGTTATATGCCGTCGAGTCGATTCCGACTCATAGCAACCCTGTACAGGGTTTCCGAGGCTATAAATCTTTATAGGAGCAGAAAGCCTCATCTTTCTCCCATGGAACAGCTGTTATTTTCCAACTGCTGACCTTGCGATTCACAGTCAGATTCGTAACCACTATGCTAGTTTAACTTCTTTTGATAATAAATTGCTACTAGCTTCCAAATTTATGATGCACATACTTCTGAGCCCACTTCTGTGAATGTGCTACACAGAGTCCCATAAAACTGTACAACATTATGTGAAACTATTCAATGTATGGACCAGCATAAGCACTAGACTACAAACCATAAGGTCACAGTTCAAGCCCACCATTCAGCTGCTCCTCGGAATCCCTAAACAAGGTTACTATGAATTGGAACTGACTCAACAGTACTTAACAACAATTTGTTCTATACTGCTTATAGTAGTGAAAAAATTATAAACCATTCAAATGCTCATCACTAAGAAATAACATCTATATTATACAAGAGTATAGATAGTATTTAAAAGATACTGATGTGAATTGATGTACACAAACAGAAAAAACAGCATACAGTGCACTGTTAAATACTATTATGTAACAGTTTTGCATGATTTCTTTTGTGTAAAAGAAGGTTGGTTATAAATAATTCATATAAAATGCATGTTTTTCTACATGCATAAAAAATACCAAGAGATATATTCTTAATTTGGTTTTCTCCTTTAAGAATGGGACTAGTGAGGGAGGAGAGAAGACAAAGAGCAAGGAAGACTTCTTTTTTTTAAAGTTTTATAAACACCTGTTATCACTTTTTATTCCCCCGTTAAGAGGGACTATGGATTACCTTAGAGATCTTTTTTTTTTTTTTTTAATTGTTTAAAATGAAAATGTGTTTGAGTTTACCTAGAACTTGGAGTGAGGATGACAATTTTCCAAGGCTTTTCATCAGAAAACACAGAAATGGTCTCAAATACTGAACAAAGTACTACAATGATGTTCTTTAAATGAAATCCCATGTATTTGTTACACTGAAAAAGATTTTCCCAAAGTAGTGTATTCAGGGTTCCTTTTCACTACACTTCAATGGCATTCTATCATGTAAAGTAAAGTCTGTCAAGGTCTGCAAGGTCTTTCAGGATTTAGTCCTGGAGCTCTCAAACTTGAATATTCAGGGCACACCGCTGTAGATCATGGTAACTGGAATCTCTGGGAAGGAGCTCGAGAGTACCATATCTAACAAGTTTTGAAGACCACACTTGGAGTTGTTGTTGTTAAGTGCCATCAAGTCGGTTCTGACTCATAATGGCAGGATCTAGGTTTCCAAGGAGCAGCTGATAAGTTTGAACCACAGGCCTTGTGGTTCATCCATCTTTTGCGGTCCAGTGCTTTATCCCAGAGCGCCAAACTTTGAGGAGCAAGGATCAAGCACACATTCATACCTTACCCCTCTCCACACTTTCAGTGCACTAAAATATGACTCCCCCACCCCTACCCCTCAACACACACCACGCTCTTCATCCCTCTGTGATTTTTTTACACCTTATTCTTCTAAGTGTTTTTCACCTCCCCTCCTCCACCTCAAAAAAATTTGTTCTTTATTATAGGTTTAGCTCACATATAGCAGATATATCAGGCAGATGTAGATACTGCTTCTTTTACATTCCCTACAGTTTCTATAGGATCTCTGATGGCGCTGTAGGTTAAGCATTCGGCTGCTAATTGCAAAGGTGACGGTTCAAACCCACCAGTGGCTCCAATGGGAGAAAGATGAAACTGTTTGCTTCTGTAAAGATTTACAGTCTCGGAAAACCTATACAGGGTTACTATGAGTCAGAATAGACTCCATAGCAGTGGGTTTGGGTTCGGTTTGGAAGTTCCTATGCATTTATCTTCCAGAGTTTATGATATTTTTATGCACACATCCATCTCCCAAGAAGACTGAATCTGAGGCTATGAAATGTCTACATCTTCACCATACAGATATTCAAGAAATGTTCTGACGTCACCAAGATACTGAGTTTCTGCCACCACCTTTTAAATAACAATTGTCACAATCACTTTTATTCCTTAACACTTTAAGGTAATTCAGTAAAAATATGTAATCTCTTAATCAAATATAAGATAGCACTTAGATTTTAAAAAGTCAAATAAATTCACTCAATAATGGGGCAAAAAAGGAAGAACAAAGATTGTACTCTTTGGTACTTTTAGGTTAAGTACTCAAAGAATAATATTAATTTTATCATATATCTTCCCCCACTTTAATTTTTAGGACTTACCTGTATTTAAAAAAATAATAATAAGGTAGAATAACACCTTAAATCAAAAAATTTCACTCACCTTCCTCATCTATCCATTTCATGGTGAAAAGCTGTTCGTTGTCAAAAGAACACATATCTCGAACCTCATTACAAAGACCCTCAAAGGAGATTGAAGGTTCAAAATGTGTTATCATGATATCCCTGAAAAAGAAAAGGAATTTTAAGTTTGACAGTTATTTAAACTAAATAATGTTCTGGTGTGGCATGATAGGATAAACCCTAGACTGGTAACCTTGAGGTCATACAGGGAACCAGATACCATACAGGGAACCCTACACAGAGTTGTTATGAGTCAGAACCAACTCGAAGGCACACAACAACAACAACAATGTCTATGTATTACTGTCTGGCAATTTAATGGTCTGCTGCAATTTTGCATGTACATCAAAATACATTATTTCCATTTTCCAAACTTTCTCTGTAAAGGAAAGAGAAATAAATACCAAATTGCTGCTGTTGTTAAGTGCCATGGAGTAGGTTCCAACTTATAGCAAGCCAGTATACACTTTCCAAGGAGCAGCTGGTGAGTTTGAACCTCCAACTTTGAAGTTAGCAGTCCAATGCTTATCATATAGCACCACAGAAATTCAAGTCCTTGCGAGGCATTCTACTCCACAGAAAAACAACTCAATTTTTGGTAAGTTTCTGCCTTATATATAACTGAAATCTGATCCAACTTCTTAAATATTTATTTTTGATGAAAATATATACACAACTCACACAAGCATTCAACAATTCCCACATGTAGTTTAGTGACATGGTTACATTCCTCACGGTTTGTTAAATTCTCTCTCTCCCATATTATTTCACCACCATTGACTTAATAAGACTCATTACCTTATCTGGGGACTTCTGGTGTGGCGCTATAGGATCAGCACTGGACCACGAACCACAAGGTCAACAGTTCAAACCACCAGCTGCTCCTCAGAAATCCTATACAGAGTCACTATGAGTTGGAACCAACTCTACCGCACTTAACATACCTTACAGTTACTTTTGTCTGCTTGATCTGATTTAGATAATTATTTTAACAGAGTGCAATGATGAAGACAAACATTCTTTACTAATTCTGCTACTGTAGTTAAAGATGACTTCAGGAGACAGATAGTTTTAGCTCAAGGTTAAAAAATCAGGACAACAGATTTGGAGGTTCCTCCAGTCTCAACGGGCCTACTAAGTCTAGGTTCCGTAAGAAATTTGAAATTCTGTTCCACATTTTTATCCCGTTTGGTGAGAACTCTCAAATAGTATTTGATAAAAACATTCAGTAATGTTAGCTGGGCACCATCAAATTCTTCTGGTCTCATTACTAAGAAGGCAGTAGAGTTCATGCAGTCAATTAGAAATGCAATCCAGTCCTCCTCTCTGGTTTTTGGTCTCCTTCTTCCTCTTCTGCTCCAGGTGAAGAGAAACCAACTGGTACATCTAGTTCCAATTTATACTCTTACCCTGGCCCCACCACTTCTAACAGAAATACTCTACTACAAATAGCTGATTTAAAAACAACTATCACACATATTCATATATTGATCATGACTCTTGAATCCTGGCATTCCCTCAAATTAAGGCTCAATTTATGGAAGAAAATATTCCTTACCAGGCACTTCAGCATCAATTTCGATTAAACATTTTTCAGCCAGACAAGTTGAATGGTCTTTACGTCTAAGCTGTCCAACTTCTATCTTATGCTCCATCTTTTGTTTAAATCATCATATATTGATGGCATATCCTCAACTAAGTTGTAAACAACCGAAAGGCATGAATTCTTTAGCTTTTTAATATATTCACTTAACTATTTAGACACGCAAATATTTCTTGACTGAAAGTGGAATACATACTTTCTATGAGAAACCCACCTTCCAGAAAAATAAACACTTTTAACAAGGAAAATTACTGTTGGTTTTCCTATAAGCATTTATAGAATTCTTACTATGTCCTAACTATTTAAAACGTCTTATTTAATCTTCACCAAAGCTGTCAAATTAGATATGCTAATCATATTGTATGGCTTTAAAAAGGAAGGCACAAAGGCATATTGCTAAAAATGTTAGGAAATGGGATGTGAATTCAAATCCAAAATTCCTAATGATACTTGATGCTGTGATCTTTTGCCTCCACGCCTCCCTGATCATCTGGGTATCCCAGCAGCAATAAGAATTCATCATCCTAGCTGCTGGGAATGCTTCTGGTAGACAATCCTCAGTTGTCAGTCCCTTTCAGAGATTGACCCCTTACCTATGGTTGCACCTCCTTTCTGGAGAAACCTACATCATAAACTTTTTTGAATCCCCCTTTATATGTTGAGTGAATGGAAATGTTACATATTGTACTATAAAGAAAGCATAGGGAAATGTAGAAATAAAAAAGTATATCAGACACCTGAGTACATGGACAAGGACATAGCCACAGAGGGCTAGAGCTATGAGTGAAGCATCCAGCTGATAAGAAGTGAGAGGAAGCACACAAGAACACTCAAACCTGCAGACAGTACCCATTTGACCTAGCCTTGATGGCTTGATAATCAGAACTCAACTAGAGGAAGATTTAAAAAAAAAAACAATTTTTGATAAAGGAAACAAGGGTAAATTGCTACAATTTGATGAACTTGACCAATACTCACAGAGGTAGTAGCTCAAAACACCAACAGAGAGGAAAGTAATCTTCACATCAAGTATCAATGCTATCCCCTCTGTACACAGGATAAACAGGGACAGGTAACTCAGACATTGGCTACCTAAATGAGGGGGTGATACAAGCACAAAGTGGCTTACAAGGTTTCAAAAGGGAGTTTAGGTTAAGAGTGTGTGTGTGTGGGGGGTGGGGGGGCGAAGATAGAGTCCCCACTGAATAGTTTTCATCTTGTCTAGATAGGGCTGGTAAAAAGAGATGGGGATTGAACACTACACAAACAAAAGTAGACAAAATAGATGAGTGAGACATACTGAAAATTAAAAACTTATGTGCATCAAAAGACTTCACCAGAAGACTAAAAAGGGAACCCAGAGAATGGGGAAAAATCTTTTGCAAAGACACATCAGACAATGGACTCATTTCTAAAATATATAGGAAACTATAACACCTCTACAAGAAAAACACAAATAACCCAATTTAAAAATGGGCGCAAGACATGAACAGACACTTCACCAAGGAGGAGATCCAGGCAGCCAACAATCATAAAGAAATGTTCACGATTACTACACATTCCCTCAATCTACAATAAAAACCTTAAAAAAAAAAAAAGTACATCAAAAAGGCAGAATGCCATTTAAGAGGCAGCCATAGTATAATGGTTAAAAGCATGAGAGCTAAAGGCAAGATGTTTAGGTTTGAATCCTGGCTCTAACACTTACTTGCTGTGTGACCTTGAATAAGTTAGTTAACTTCTCTGTGGCTCAAGTTCCTTATCTATAAAATGAGGATAATAACTCATAGATTGTTGTACGGATTTAATAGGCTAACTGAATAAATATTTACAGCACTTAGAATACTGTGTAGTATGTGTCTGTTCTTGTTAAGTGTTGTCAAGTTGGTTCCAACTCATAGTCACCCTCTATATAGTTTCCAAGGAGCAGCTGGTGGTTTCAACTGTTGACCTTGTCATTCGCAGTCCAGTGCTGATCCTACAGCACCGCATACCAGGATATGTTTTAAAACAATTTGGTATTCATATACTTTAAACAGAAGTGAAATCTCATTGGAGAATAAGAAAATTCTGGTTAAGTGAAAACAGATGGAATAAAAGTGACTAAGAAAAGATACTAGCCCAAGAAAGCAAAAAAGGAACCCTTAAAAGAGAGGTTTTATTGACGCAGTTTTATTGATACAAGATTGCCTTTCCTTCTCTAAGCATTAATCATACTACTTGGCTTTTTAAGTGTACAATTTACATAAGAATTCATTATAAACACTTTTCAAATTTGTTTTAAAGAAACACTTTGGAGTTAAAGAAGAGAATAATAATGTTACAATTTTTTTCAATATAATAATTATTAAGAAAAGTCAGAATGTAAAGAAGTGAAGAGTAATTTAAAAATGTCTTTATCTTCCCAGGAGACATCAAGGCAACTGGTCGGGTCTCCTCAGGGCAAACCCCCTTCTAAGACTAAGACTCAATGGGAATACACATGTAAACATACGCTCTGACTGGTGACCACGTTGGTTACCAATAAGGGGAAGAGAGGGAAAAACAGCAATGAAGCTGCAAGCTACATCCTACCATGTTCAATAGACTCCCATGAACCCGGGTGTAGACCTGGTTAGCCAGCAGTATGGCAAGACCTGGGGACTCTTGGGCCCAGAGTCAGTGACATAGCCACAGAGGACTAGCGTGGAGAATGAAGCATCCAACTGGTAAGAAGTGAGAGGAGATGCACAAGAACACCCACACTTGCAGATAATACCCACTTGACCTGGCTCCAATGGCTGTTCAGAATTCAACTAGAAGAAGAAGAGGAAAAAAAGAGTAAGCTGATACAATTTGATGAACTTGACCTACACCTATGGATGCAGTAGCTCAAAAGAGGGAATAAATCTTTACAGCAAGGATCATTCCCACCTCCTCAGTACACAGGGTAGACAGGGATGGGCAACGTGGAAATTGGCTACCCAAAATGGGGGGGCTACCCAAAATGGGGGGGGGGGGGCTGCAAAGGCAAGAAGTGACTGGCTTGCAAGCTTTCAAGAGGGAGGCTAGATCCAGAGATCACGGAGGAAGGTAGAATCTCCACTAAGTAGTATCCAATCTGTCTGGGCGGGGCTGATAAAAGGAGATGGGGATAGGACTCTTGTGGTACAATAGTAAATAACTGCTATCAGGACTGACTGTGAAGTTGGAAATGTAAAGGCAGACATTATGTAACAAAAGGTGGGGAGTGATTGACTTTGCAGTCCAGAGGGGAGGTCCCTGGGACCATCAAGGGAAAAGAGTGGAATGTGGGACCCTCCCCAGAGAAGCAGTTATGCCAGAGATGGAGGTAGAGATGATGACATGGAGAGATGGAGCGGCTGGGGACTCCAGACCTAAAGAGGGAGAGGGGCTGTATACGGACGACCGAGGGGCAGGCTTGCAGGGTATACCCTTTGGATGGCTGACAATGCTTGGAGGGAATTGTAATCATGGCAATGAAACGATATACAACAGG